GAAAGTAATTGTATGTCTGACCAAGCAGCATGCAAGCACCATTCAGCAGGCTGGGGGAAAAGTGGTGACAGCTAGAGCCCAAAATAACAGGATTTCAAGTTTGAAATGCCAATGGCTTTTTCACACTGACGTGAGACCAAAAGGCCTTAACAGTGGCGAGAAGTGTTCCAGGTTGCTGTTCTTCCTTGCTGGAAAAAACAGATTTTTGATGATGAGGTGTGGTTAAACACTCCAGCCAGCTCTGTTAGACGTGTGCAGTGCTTGTGGGGAAGAATTGCTCAAGGAAGACTGGGATGGTGGCCCTGTTGCTCCACAATGGGGTAGGGTGATCAGAAACAAAAGCTGGAGTTTCAGGGCTTCTTCTGCCCCTGGAGCTGTGACCTGGCTGTCCACCCAAGCATGCACATATGGCAGGGTGGGCTTCTGCATGCCTGTGTGCACACCCGGGACCCACAGCCCTGCAGAGGGTTGATGTGTTTGTGGCTGTGGTCTGGTGTCACCCGTCTGTCCTTGCAGCAAGGGCTTTGCAGGGTAACAGAGCATTGCTTGTTCCTCGTGAGAGGAAACTCCTGACCTGGTTTTTGTGAGGAGATGGTGTGAAGTGTCACATTTGCTGCAGCGAGTGGCAGGGAGCAGGGATAAAAGCATGGTGCAAGCTGTGTTTGAGAACGAGCTAATCCCTTGCTGCCTGAAATGGGAGAGCTGCTAGATCTGCTCCCTGGCCAGCACTGTTCAGCTCTTCTCACCCTCCCAAACCTGATGTGCAAACTGTTATTCCTCTGGGGTAGCCAAAGGACTTTGTTCCCTAACTCCTCCAAGGCTGTGCATTTACATCGTTTTGGTCCTCTCCATGCTAGCACTGTGGGCAGCCGTGAAATGCCGGTGGATGTGTGATGACCTCAGGCGTGCTGGTGGCCAGAGCCTGCCATAACCTGCTGGTTTGCCTGCATACAGCCTCCCAGCAATGCTCCTGCCCTGGCGTGCCTTGGGCTTGCTTGGTGGAGAGGCAGCACAGCCGGGCCTCACTTGTGCATCACTTTATGTTCTCTCAGAGAATTCCACAGCGCTTCTCGGAGCCTTTGTAGACAGGGTAGATCCAACAGACCAAAAGTAGAAGACAGAAGGCCTTGACATTTTGGTGGTCTCTGGGTTCCTAGTGCTGTCTCTTGGCAGAAGAGGCACATCAGCTGTTGTGGCAGTGTGGGACCAGGGGACAGGGTGTCTTCTGGGTGAGTTTCCAAACAAAGGCTCTGTGCTTCTTTGCTGGGACCAAGGGCAGCTTTGCTGTGGGCTGAACAAGACACAGCTGATGGAGGAGCTCGATGAGGAGGGCAGAATAGTGTGTGAATGCACAGCAAGATATGTGCAGAGGAGGGGATGTTGAAGAACAGCTGTAAAAGGCTTTGCAGATGTGATGGGTTTTACCAGGACACGAGGCGAGACAGGGCTGAGGGCTGCTGTGCTGGACCAGTGCTGCTGCGAGGCACGGAGGGTGTGGGAAATAGACCAGGGCATTTGATGGAGAAGCCCAGGAATAAAGCAGGCTTTCCTTGCAGGCTGAGCATGCTCCAGGCCGGGGAGACAGGCAGGAGGCATTTCGAAGCTGAGGTGCCCAGACCAAGCCTTGCTGTATTGTCAGAGCAGCGATGCTGCCTCCGAGCCCAGCACTGACAGCTCGAGCACGTGTCACCAAACAGCAATGGCTAATGCAGCCACAAGGTGTAAATGTCACTAATGAATAAATTGCCTTGTGCCTTGGAGAGGCCAATCCATCACAGCTGGGGACAGAGATCTGACAGGCATGGCTATTTCAGGCGTAGCCTGTAGGGAGGAGGCACGATTCATTTCTGAGCCATCCCCTCCACCTAGGGAAGCCGATGCAGGGCTTGGCTCTGTGCTGCTCAGCTTCATCCCTCTTCACTGCATTGGAAGGAAGAAGCAGGAGGGTCTAGCTTAGCCAGAAGTGCCCTGTCTGCAGGGAAGTGCGTGAGCCCCAGCCAGGGCTAGCTGGAGAGGGAGGCTGCTGCACATAGGGCACATGCTGTAGGTGATTGTGGGATAAAGTGGTGTGTCCCCAGTGATCAGGAGAGCTTGTGTCAGTTGTCTTTTCCTCCCCTGCTGTTGAGCCCCAGCCGCCAGCACCTCAGCTGGCTGTGCAGAGGGCCAGCAGGTATAGGGCAGGCAGGGACAGAAGCTCAGCGTGGACAAATGCAGCTCTGTGGGAACAAAGGGAGGCTGAACAGAGCAACCGTTTCCATGCACAGCCTCTGCCCATCCCCACGGCAGCCTGCTCCTCCACCCCCAATTGGTGCTTGAAGTCAACCTGCCATCCTCTTTACAGCATATGCCAGTGTGACACCTTGCAAATCGATGCCTGGGTCGCTGTGAGCAGAAGCCGCCAGGCTTGGGAAGCCAGCCACTGGCTCCTGCTGCTGCGTGAGCTGTGCTCAGAGCAAAAGCAGGGCTTGCCATCTGCTGTGGGAAGGAGCCAGCCAGACACCCCTGCTCCGGGCCAGTGGGCACCCACTGGCATAGTCCAAGTGCAAGCCCTTGTGTCTTTCCCCCTGTTTTACTTCCCGGCCACCCTCTGTCTCTCCCCATGTCTGTGGCACATGGACAAGGGGATGCTCCCAGCTTGGATGGGTTCCTCTGCTGCCAAATGCTGCTCACGCTGCATCGGTGCAAGGTAGAGAAGACCAGCTCCCAGGCAAGGTGCCAGGGGTTGTTCTTTCCTCAGATGGAGGCCCACGGCTGACCCCCTCCTCAAAGCCCTGCAGCACTCCTTGGGGATGGATCTCATGGAAGAGCTAAAGGGTTCATACTGGCCCTTCCCAGCACAGAGTGACCTACTGGTTACTGCTCTGCATGGTGGGCCCACAGCACGGTAACCAGACCTGGAGCTGACAAGTGACCCAGCAATGACAGGAGTGTTCACACTCACACAAGCTGCTGTTGCTGTCAGGGCTTTCATTTTTTTACCAACATGTATGGCATTTGAAGTCGTTTCGACCCTTGCAGGCTGCCAGATAGCAGGCTGTTGGTCTTGGTGTGGGCAAGTGGTGCAGCCTGCTTGGTTTGGGCTTTTCTCTTTGGCTAAGAGATAGGTGGGAGGGAAGGCAAAGGGTTGTCCAAGCATTCCTACACGTGGCAGCCAAGGAGTGTGCTCAGGTGGCATTAACAGCCTTGGCCATTTGCAGGAAAAGGAGATGTGAGTATCCTTGGAAAGCAAGTCAACAGTTGTTGTGGTGATGATATGTTTCCCCAAGCCCTTTTCTTTCCATCCCTGTTCCTCACTGGCTCTGGCAGCCAGTTCCTCCTTCTGTGTCTGCTAGCATGGCTGAGGGATCTCATCGCTGCCCTCCCAGCACGAGCTTTCATTGCACAGCTGGCTGACCAGACGCAGCCCTGTACTTGGAGCTACAGGCAGGCTTGCCTAGGACCAGGCCTCCTCCATTAAACCCCCACCCTTGCTGCTGGAGCTGTTCCTTCATCAGCCTGATGCTGACCTGGGTCTTTTCTGCTGTTTCTGAACACAAGTTCTCATCTCATTCAGGTGTGTCATTCAGTGGAAATACTTTGTAAGTGCAAATAAAAAGAAACAAATCTATTCAATACCTCGGTCTCGAGGATGGAAAGCGAGTTGTGAGAGACACCCAGGTAGGGAGGTTTCTCAGCTGCTGCTGCTGGTTAGGGTTTCTTGTGGACCGAGCCCCTGGAGCATCCATGATCTGTGAGGGCTTGGGACTGAGCCCCGTCAGCATGGTGGCCCTGCCACGGCCATGACTGCTGGGGACAGCCTCGCACTCCATCCTTTCTGATCTGTAAGGGCATGACATGACACGGTAAAGGTCCTGTCGGCCGGGGGCCAGTGGCACCACAGGCATCTGTATCCATCAGGCAGAGCAAGGCAGAAGCGGGTACGTGGCGAACAAATTCTTTTGTGAATACTGGGAAACAGTTTTTACTTTTCAACTCTGTCAATATGATCTAGCTCTGTCTGTCTCTCTATATATGTACGAACAGTATATCACAATGTTGCCTTTTTTGTTGGAAATATCAAAGTACAAAGATTGTAAACCAAATCGGTGTAATAAAAGTTTCGGATGATTCACTGAGGTGGCTGCCAGCGGTGGGTCTGTCAGTGCTGGTGCTGGTGTAAAGCCCCTGCGTTGCTCAGAGTGCGGGAGGCGATGGAGATCAGCCTTAATTCCCTGCTGACCTCTCCTGAGTGGGTTGGCCGAAGGACCAAGGCAGTCACGTATGTGCCCTGTCCTGTCCCCAGGTGGCCACAGCCATGCATGGAGCAGAAGGAAGCTGCTCCGTTTTCCTCCAAGGCAGAAGAAGCTGCTCTGTTTTCAACCCTGTGGGCTGTGTGGGTTAGCAGTCCTGCAGGGACCCCTCTAGCTTGAAGTTACTCAAAACGCTGATTCTTTTGACAGGCTTGCGCAGAAGAGCACTACGAGTTAGGATAAACATCTAGTTGCAAAGAATTCCCCTGTTTGCAAAGCAGGCTGGCACTGATCAAAGGCATAGCAACCTGAAGCAGGAAACCATGGTGGAGAGACTGATCATTTATTGGATTTATTTTTATTTCTTTTTTACTTTTCACCACCCATATCTGAGACTGCAGACAGATTTTGAAATAAAATACAAATAAATCCAGTGATCAGAAAAATTTGCTGAGGGACAAGGAACAACGTTCTTACATCCTCTGTTCATCTCACATCCTCCTCAGGAAAAAGCCTAAAAGAGCAGCCTGCTGTGAAGGTTAGCTCTGGATTAGACCATTTAGATCGTGGAGACTTCACCTTACCTGCTTTGCAGGTGGAACAACATCCAGTTGCTGATGGAGCATGTAAGATATGCCACAGGAGGTGAGATTTAGTCTTGGGTGCAGTGGGAGAGAGGACTCTGGAGGCAGATTGCTTCTGTAATGCCGCTGCAGTCCCACGGCATGTAATGTCTGTCTTGTATTAAAATGGTGGATGTATTAAAGTGGTTGGATGGTGGGGATCTGGGTAAGACTGCGGCAGCAGCCACAGGTTGAACGTTTCTCACAAATACAAATGAAAACAAGCCTCTGAGGTAAAGCGTCTCCAACAGTGCACCTGCAACGCTCACTGCTCTCTGGACTGCTGCAGGGACTCCGGCCATGCTGCTTCCCGGTTGGCCCACAGGATCTGGTGAACAAGGTACTCGGTCTCCTGGCCCACCCCTGCCATGCGGAGGTCGAACTCGATCAGAACCTTGTTACCTGCCAGCCCTTCCAGCATCTGCTTCCCACCATCCTGCAAGTGGGCGAGAAGGGAGGGTTGAAGGAGGTCAAACAGTGAAATGTATTGCTTTCCTGCCCTCCTCCCCAGAGCACTCTCAGCTGCCGGCAGTGGGAAGTGAGTGGGAAGATGGTGCCAAAAGGGATGAAGGCCTTCACCCAAGCCCGAAATGTTGCTCACAGGAGAAGTACAGGGAAAGAGTATAACCTTATGCGGCACTCAGTGATATGGCATATGCTAATGACTCCCTCTGGGTACAATGTCAGGAGTCTTCAAGCTCAGGCTGGTTAATAGCACGGCTGGTGATGATAACCATGAGAGGAGTCTCTGCTCTCCCCTGTCCCCCGGCTCCCTGCACACTGCTGGCTGGGGATAAATGGCAGTGTTATTAGAGTGCTGCTCCTCATCTTGGCAGTGCCAAGAGCCGCAGTGCTGGCAGTGTCCTATCTGGATGCCATTTTCCATTTGGTGAGATGAGGGGAACATCGCACGCAACTGAAATCCAGCCTGCATGGAACAGAAAATGCAGTGTAGATAGCCTTAGGGAGGCCACTCCCTTTGGGGGATTGCTCTCCTTTACCTAAAGCACTGTCTTCAGGGATGTGACAATTTGACTTTTTTCCCCCACAGCTATTCTTTTCCAGCTAACAAATACACCTCCTGTCCCCATCTCCTTCATGCAGGTGGTCCCTTCATCCCAGCATCTTGCCTGTTAGACCTTTTGCCAAGTAAGTTGGAACAAAAAGGGAAGGAGTCTCTTTTTAATGGGGTACAGAGGTCAGGATTTGATGCATCTCTAGCAAACCCCCCCATTTCCCCAAAGATAATACTACAAACCCTTTTGTTGGGCTGCTGTGGAGCTTCACAAATGGGTAACAGGAGAGCTCATGAGAAGGAAGATGCTAAGTACAGACATTATTATTTACTAAGCAAAAATCCTTCTTTCCAACCTTTGCCCCCTTGTATCATTAAACTCAAATGGTTTTCCACATCCAGGATCATAAAACTCAGAACTCACAAAAGGTTTTCTGCCATCAAATCCTTTTAAAACCGTTGTCAAACACATTGATGCCAATATTCCTGCTAGCAGGGACAGCTGGTCTTGCTGTCTCTTTATTGTGACAGCGAGAAAAATTGAGGCAGTGCAGAAAGTTTAAAAGCCAGCATGATTGCATTTGGCTGTCTAGTTTCAGATTTCTAAAGCTCTTTTTAATCAGCAGAAGAGAAGCAGTCTGGTTTGTGGGCATGTTGCATACTGCAGCTTTTAGGGATGTAGTAAGATTTGTGGATGTTCTTCTGTCTTGAAAATGTAAGCCTGTGTTTTAGGAGCCATTTACAAGCACCCAGATGTGGCACTTTTGACCTACCACAGCATTCCAGAGCTGCAGGGTGAGTTAAAGGAGCTCGACAACCGAGCCAATTTTCTAACAGTCTCCTCTGAGTGCATGATGGACGGGAGAGGTTCTGGGAAGGGTGATACTATCTATGTGCTACTGAGTGACAGATGGCACAGCAGATCCAAAGCACAGAGGCTATGCATTAGGCCCTCATCTCATACCACCTATCATTATTATCTACTCCCACATGTGTGAAGCGGCTGTGATTTTTTGCGGGCATACTCCCTGGTTTTCAGTTTCCTGGGGGAAAAGCCTTCTCTGCCCAAAAGCCCGAAGCCTGGAAGCCAGATTCAACCCTGTGAACAAGCTGGCTGAGATAAATGGATATGTGTGCATGGAAGATATCCTTCTTCCTGCCGTCTGCTAGTCTCTTGTCTGCTCTCAAGTAATATTTATCGCAGCAAGACTGCAAAGTGAGAGATGCATTTGCCCCTGTGGCTTCAAGGCAGGGCAGGCTGAGCCTCTGCTTTGCAAGGCCACCACACAGGCTCAGAAACTGCGGGGAGAAGGGTTTTCTCTTACCAGCCCCAGGTGGTTGCATGAGAAGTTGATGCTCGTCAGGGTGGTGTTCTGAGCCAGGACCTGGGAGAAAAGTGCAGCAGTTGGCTCTGACAGCTTATTGCTTCCCAGGTGAAGAGACTGCAGGGTGGCGTTGGTCAGCAGGGCACGGCCGATGGCCTCCCCACCTTTGTCCTCCACACAGTTGAGGCGCAGATTCAGAGAGGTCAGGGTGGAGCTCTCTGCCAGGGCTTGAGCAAGAGCCTGAGCCCCCAGGTCATGGATCTGGTTGTTACACAGGTCGAGGGTTTCTAATTTGCTGTGTTTGATCAACTTGGCAATAGCTCGTGCCCCCTTGTCCCTGATGAGATTGTGGGACAAGTTCAGCTCCACCAGGCAGGGGTGATCCAGCAAGCTGTGGACCAGCAGCGTGGTCTTGTCATCATCCACTTTGCTTCGCGTCAGCTCGAAAACCTGTGGGGATAAAGGACAGTGACACTAAAACATTCAGTGCTTTGGATTGAGCTTTGTACAAGACCTCAAAGGAGTTAAGCCTATGGTCCACCAGACAGGATTCATCTCCCTTCACGACAGAAACCTTTAGCCAGTAGGCTCAAGTAGTTGCTTTTAGAGTGGCCAGATACTTCCAGCAGACAGGGTATGCCATTGATGTCCCATGCTTATCCTAGGGAGAAATGGTTCATCTCTTGGTAGTGCCTGTTCCTTTCTTCTGGCTCTGTGCGATCTCTAACAAGGGGCAAAATTAAAACAAGATAAGGCCACCAAAATGCCTGCAGAGAACAACAGCAAAACTCATCAGTTGAACAGTCACTGAATGAGCACATGCACCCGTGGTAACCACATCACTCTCTGTGAAGGGCAATGGCCTGCATGGCCAGGGCACCTCACCACAGGAGAGGTAATTTCTTTTCTGGAAGCCAAGCAGACAACTGTTTCCCAAAGCATGCCAATCCATGGGGAGAGCACCCAGCCAGCTCACCCTGGCTGCACTCCAGCCAGCAGTGACTGCTGGTGGCTTGGAGGGGCTGAGTATCGGCGCTGCAGTTGCCACAGAACTGAAGATGCTGTTACTGCCCAGAAGGAAAACCCCTCATCACCCTAAGGCAAATGTGAGTATTACCCCTTGTTGTTCTTAGGCATCTCTGCTCCACTGGGGCATGTTGACACGTATTTACTGAGCATAACTACCAAAAACTCCCTATGAAAAACTCTCTTGGCTTTTTCTCTCCTCCTTCACAGAACTGTGTGAGGACTCAGAGCAGGAGTGTTGCTTTCTCTTGTGCTATAGGGAACATGTTTTGTGGGAGTATTTTTCTCACCGACCCTCTGACAACCTGTTCTAACAAGGACATATGCAGAACAAGGTACTCGGCACAAGGCCAGCAAGTTAACATCTCTGCACTCTGCCAGACTGCAACTTGCAAAAGGAAGGGTGCTGCCAGCAAGTAAAAATGGTCCCCGGTTTTCTATCCCCAAGCAATTTGAAGGTTGGGCTGAGGGAGGAAGGTTTGGTTTGGGGTGCGTTACTTTCAAGTTCTGGCACATCTTCACAGCGACAGCCAGGTTGCAGCAGTCCTGGTAGGTGAAGTTAAAGAGGTTCCACTCGAAGTTCATGCCACAGTCCTTCACACCGTAAGTGAGATGAAGCTCTTCAAGGTGAGGGAGAGCAGTAACGAGGACTCTCAGGTCGTAGTGATGCACGGAGGCCTCACTGAATTCCATATCACTCTCTGACTTAGAGAGGTCATCCCTCTTCTCATTTTGATCCACTTCCAATGGTGGCAGGAACTGGTCAACCTCCAGTTTCCGCACATAGTTTTTGCAGAGCGGGATGAGCTCTAGGACCTGGTTGGGGTCCGTGGTGTTGGGGATGAAACATTTCAGGGTGTTCTCCAGGTGACGTTCAAGGAACATCCTTTTCCAGCTGCCTCCGTAGCTGGAGATGTCACACACTTGCCAGCGCTTGGTGCAGCACCTCTTCCAGTAGTCCTCATCGCTTATTAGGTTGGCAGTGATAGCGAGTGGAAGGCCAGTGGGGAGCCTGTCTAGTACTTTCCTTTGGTGTTCAGGCAACAGACGATCCAAAATAGGGTTCTCTGTAGGGGATGAATAGAAGGAGAGGTTGGTCTGGGCTGTAGGAACGATGGCTGGCGCTGTGGTTCTGCCCTCTCCCCACCTGCATGCCCATGCCCTCCCTTCTGCTGGTACTGGCTCTCTGCTCAGTTGCCAGCGACTGGTGCGAGGAGCAAAGCTGGCAGGAACATACAGGATTCACCTCCAGTTCTGTGCAGGATTTCTAACTTTTACAATGAAACATGAGCTCAATTGGGTTTACTCTGTAATATTTGGGAACTGCATCAGAAACATCTCCCAGTTTAAATTCAGTTTGAATGCAGTTTATGCTCAGAGCAGGACTTCTGCTCCCAAGAGAGCTAGTTCAGCCTTACAGCAATGGGAGTGCTTGGCTTGCCATTTGCTGAACTTGCTCCCTTTGGTTTCTGGGCATATTGAAGGATGATATTTGAGAACAACTGTGTGCTCCTCATGGAAGTCCTTGTGCCTTTTCATCTTAACTCAGGTGTCTGTCTTACCCCACATTGATTCCTGTTTCCTTCCACTGAGATACACTCAGCCTTTAGGCTCATCTTGTTTAACTAAAAGTTCTCTTTTCCCAGGAGCATTCTCCCCTCAGCCTCTTTCCGAATGCTCACCCTAAGCCTCAGCTGGCTTCTGTCTGGGGGAAGTTTTCTGTGGTAAGAAACGCCACAGAAAAGCTGTACGTACTCACACCGTGAACGCTTGGTGACATGTACACGGCAGTGCTGAGTAACAGAAGTCATCAGGGGATGATTTCTATTTGCACATGGGAAATCAGATTTTGAGACACAAAGTGGGGGTGGCTTTGTATTTCCTTTGTCTCTCTGGCATTTCCTCCAGAAGAAAAACCCATAGTTTTACCTCAGCCTCTTCCTGGAGCCCAGTGTGCTACCGCTGGCACTGCAATGACTTCTCTGCAAAGTCCCATGACAGATGCAGAGGTGGGAGACTTATGGGCAGAACTGGGCTGGCTTCACTTGGGCTCACTCAGGCCACAGCAGGTCACGTAATGGTGTGAGGGACACCAAGCACACTGCCTTCATGTGCAGCGTAGTCCAATCCATTTGGCATCAGACTGACTGACCAGACTGAGGACTGCAAGGGTGTCCCAGCTCACCCCCCCAGGTATCATCAGCTCCTGGTGTAAGGCTGCACTGAGATCCTCTGTACTGTCTTATCATCCCAATGTGGACACAGCCTTAGACCTATCTTTGGTCTTTGCTGCCATGTCACCATCAGCCAAAAAGACATACAGGCCCTTCCTCCTCCCCTCCCAGTCAATTCCCAGATAAGACATCCTTTTTCTGTTTTGCCATGTTTCATCAGTCCACCTGCTTCACAAGCACATTCCCTGCCTGAGGATATAACTTGTCACATCACCACCAAAAGCCATGGAGAAGGCCTGAGACTGTGAGTACAGTATGTATTCTGAGATGGTAACTCCCATCTACCAAGCTTGCTACTTGATGATAGCAAGGAGCAATTCTCTACCTCTTGGTACATCACTCAGCACAATGGGGCTCCATCCTCAAGTACTACCATAACACCTGCATGAATCAAGAGGAGGAAACTGTGACTCCACAGCCCTCGCTATGGTTGAGATAAGTGAGTCCAGCAGAGCGCAGAATGAAGAAGAAATGACAGGACAAGGTTAGGGCAGATTCCCATCCTGGACGGCAGCCCAGAGGACTACAGCCATCCCTGGAGTGTACAAGTATATACTTAGCAACTAAACAGTTTGTTTAACTAGCTGCCCGAGGGGATATTTCTCCCCATCTGTTCCTTTGGCAGGGCTGGGTACCACACTCTTCCCTTCAGATGCATCTGCCTGCCTTGCTGACTCTCTGCTCCCCAGGACTGATGCTCTCACTCTGTGTGTCCCAGGCGAAACACGCTCCCACTTACTTTCGAAATTGTGAGCGATGTGCTGGAGGCAGAGCTCGGTGAGGCAGGGGACAGTGGTGAGGGACCACTCGGGATCCTCGATGAGACGGTGTGCACAGTGTAAGTCAGCAGCGAGGCTGGGCTTCAGTGAATGCTGCGAGGGAACCACCGTGCTCCTGTCACCAGCCACTGGCTGCTGCATCCTGCTCAGGACCCACTTCTCCTTCAGGAGAAGCAAAAGGAAAATTGCTTGAGAGTCACTGCCGCATTTTCCAGCTGCAACACGAAAAGGCAACTTTAGAAAGAGGCCAGTGATGAGAATGGGCTGCTCACACTGCTCCCCTGTAATACACTTGGCTCCTGCCCTTTACTTGCCCTCTCTGCTTGCACTGGAAGCACTGAAGCAAAACAATTTTTCAGCCATATCTTTACACACTGCCCTGCATAGAAAGGTCTCTAGGTACCATATGTAATAAGCAGATAATAATGTGGTGTTAATTCAGAGTGCTGTTGAAGAGGATGGGCAGGGATTGCTTGTTTACTGTCTTTTCCAGTAAAAGAAATAGGTGAAGAGAGCAAGAGCTGGGTTTTAAGAAAAGGAAAATGATGGTTCTTCACACAGCCTGCAGTTGAACTGGGGAATTCCTTGCCATGGGAAGTTGTGGATGCTGAGAGTCTGCAGGTTCCACGATGAGTCCATGGAAGAGAAACTCCTTGAGACTGACTCAATGCACAGAAAGAACATCTGGCTGAGTATGAGTTGGACATGGATGGAGGGAGAAAGAGTGCTTCTGTTTCTAGCCACTGTCAGAGATGGGATACTGGGCCAGACTCCTCCCTGGTTTGATCCAGTATGCCTGTTCTTATGATTCTTTAAAGACAGATGCTTTACAGATGAATACACTATAACTGTATTATTTTTTCTGCATTTCCCAATGCACTGTCCAGCTGATCTCTTTCCAAACATCCATTAACTGATGAGATGAGTGAGACCTGTTCAAACCATACTGAGCCTAAGCAGATACGAGCTAAAAGAACCAGACTGGAGCAGAAGGAAGGATGCCCACTCCTACTATCTCTGCAGAGCTTTCCCAGACCAAAGTTTCCCATTTCCTGTTTCCTACCCCAACCTGAGGACCTATGGTCTCAGCTCACAGGTTCCCACATGTATAGATACTGCCTGGAAGTCCTAATGGTTCCCTTACCAGCCCTACCAGGCTGAAAGAGGCAGAGGAGACACTAGGGAGGAATCTGCCCTTGAGTTCTGGGTTCAACAAAAGTACCCAGGCTTGGTGAGCATCTCCCAAGGCATACAGACCCATGCAGATCCTTACTGGGGCTAACTGGACATAACAGGGCTGCAGTGCATGGCTGGGGGGTTAGAGACTGCAGGACACTTAAAAGAAGCATGAGGCAGATGGCTGGATGGCAATGTCAGAGGAGAGGACAGCGTCCTGCAAGACCAAGAGGAGGCCTCAGGGCAAAGGTGGCCTTGCACCCCAGTAGAGTCAAAAGGACCCTGCAGTGACATCCTGCACAGAAAGTAACTGCCATGTAGCATCTTGTGCCACAGCATCCCTCAGCTGAACATCACTTTGATCCCAAACAGCTCCTGTTTTGTGAAGGGCATGAGCCAGGCAGCACTCCCCAGATGAAACACCTTAGGTCCTTCCCCCGCACAAGGCTGCTTCCTTCTCCTCTTCCCTCCCAGTCTGTGTTGCCTCAGTCAGCACAGGTCCCTCTCTGAAAGCTTTGTAACTGGCCTTTCTAGAGCTACTCCCTCTGCTCCTTCCCCCTCCAAAAGACATTTGTGGAACGGCCTGCAGACAACCTGCAAAAGCAGGAAGGAAGGGACTAGAAGATGCTGTACTGCAGCAAATATGCCAGCAAAGGCTTCTTCAAATGCACTTGAAGCAGGTCCCAGAAGACAGTAACCGCTTCAGAATGAGAATAAGGAAAGGGTGGAGATGGCAGTGGCAGGACATCCTCCGGCACAAAGCGGTTGGACGAAGGGCACAGAGGGAAGCTATGTTTCCTGCAAAGCACTGGTGTACAGATGACAAAGCAAAGGCTGTAGGAAAAGGGAGCCTGGTTTGTCTGTAAAAGGGTGGGTGTGGAAGGACAAGGCAGATGTGGGGACCATGAGTCCTTTCTTTGCAAACCTCCCTGCTCTCAAAGGAAGGTTCTGTGCCACCACTGAGGGGAAGAGAAGAGACCTGATTCTCCCCAGCACACTGACCGAGCTGAAACCCAGCTTTTGGTGCTTGATGGACTTCAGCAGAAGGGCACAGCTGGATGGCAGTGAGTTGGCATTAATAGAGTAGAAGTGACTGGGAAAAACGTTTTCTCCTTGCTCAGTCCTTCATCCTATTCAAAAAGCATCTGTGTCACTCTGCCCCCAGGCCAGTCACAGCTAATTGGAGTTCCTGATGGCTTTCCTGACCTTTTGGAAGCAATTGTTAAAAGCTCTCGTGGAAAGCCAGTGCAGCAGTGCAGCGTCGGTGGCCTAGGATTCATGGCTGGAATGCATGGCTGCATTCCAGCAAATGATCTGATTGCCAGTTTACCTATGGCAGATTGATTTTTAGAGGGTACTTAAGCTATGGCACATACAGGATGATGGGAAGGACTCCTGAGCACCAGCCGGGAGACAGAGCTGCCCTCAGGCAGAGCCAAAACCTGGCTGTGGAAACAGCGCAGCCCCTCCATGCATTGCATGAAGCTCACTGGGCAAAGCTCTCTCGCAGCAGGAGGTCAGGCTGTGTGCGCTACCCAGGGGCGGTCCAGCCCCTACTTATGATGGCCTCAAAGGACACACAGACATCTTCGGGTGTCTGTGTCCTGGCTGCTGGGGAGCCCCCCTCGACCTGAGCTCCATGGGTCAGCTCAGCTGGCTCTGCCACCCCACTCATCATTGGTGTGAAGCAAGAGCAAGGCTGTTGTTGGGACAGCCAGCCCGCAGGGTGTCTGAATCAACCCCACACCTGTGGTGCCAGGGAACGGGGGCTGAGTCTGGTGCTGAGTCAGTGCTCTTACGGTGCCCGTTCCCATCCCATCACCCCAGCACAGTAAGCTCCCTGCTTATCACCAGGGAATGGGCCTCTTTCAGCACTGCATCCCCTCCACCCTGGCTGCAGGAGTCTCACCCAGCCAGAGCACACACGCCAAGTCAGTTTCTACAGCGGGGCTTGCTAAACATGTATTTAAACACCAGAGAAGCATTGTAATTCGTTATCAATAAGCCAAGTCAAGAGCGTTAATGTATGCTCCTTCCCACCCACTACATACACATCAGTCACCTATGCTAAAAGGCTTTATGAAATTATATACAATGAATGTGGTCATGTAGTAAATTCCCAGTTTATGTCATTTAACCCTCAGATTAGGCTGAAAGGTAAATTATACTAAAACTTCTATATACGTAAAAAAATTAGAAATCACACTTCCCTATCCGGGAAGAAAGCCACTCACACAGCCAACTTATGCTGCTACCTGGCATGCCTAACAAACCTTCTTCAGCTGAACCTGTTCTGACCTGGGAATAAAAGATTTCTGCTCTTTTGATTCACACCAAAGCCCAGAGAGACCTAAAGAGGGGTTGCATAGAAACTAGTGACCCTTGGCTGATACCTCCTACCAGCAGTACAGTGATCCAAGAACCGGAGCAACTTCACTGAAGAGTTTGCAAGTGCAGGAGGAATTCCTTTGGAGCTTGGTTATGCCCCAGCGGAGATCACATCTGCACTGAAGCTCAGCCTACCCGGAAACAGAGGGAGCCCTCGCGTCAGTGCAGCAGCACCCTGGCCTTTGTGCTGTTACCTCTACACCGGGCCGGCTAGCGGGGGACATTGGCAAGCGGCTGACTGGCTAACACACCCCTGATCCCGCTGCCACATGCAGGGACTCGCCACACCTCCTCACGCTCAGAAAAGCTGATGCTAAGTGTGCATTATGGCAGCGTATCGCAGGGTTATCAAGGGGCTGAGGCTCTGCAATGGGCTTTTAAGGAAGTTTAAACAAAAGGGTGCCAAAGGAGGTATCCATTTAGCTTCAGATATAACGGGATTTGTCTGCAATGGGAAGCTGGGCAGAATAAGGCCAGCCAGCCCTTTGAGGGTATGGTTAACGCCCTCACCATAATGCAGGCGGTGCGAGGGGCCGGAGCTGTGGTTCCAGGTCACCATGTCCAGGTGAGGGTCACTGCCCCACGGGGGGGGGTCAGAAACACGAAAGCCCTCCGAGACCTGCTGCCCACTGCAGCCCGCAGCCAGGCTCCCCTCCGGAGTCCCCGAGGGGGCAGAACGCTCGCTAGCCCGGCCAACCGGTTAACAACCAGAGCTGCAAGCGGCCGGGGGTGGCGGTGGTGTGCAACGGGTGTCCCAGGGGAGGGGGACAGCGATGCCGGGGGTGAAACACGGGGGCCCCTCCTCTCCCCTCGGGGTTTCGGCCGCCCATGGCCGCGGGGTACGAGCAGCCCGGCCCCCCCCGGCCCCCCCGGTTCTCACCCGCCGCCGCTGCCGCCGGTCGCTGCGGACGCGGCCGTTGCCGGGGCGGGGCGGTGGCGCTGGGCCGTGCAGGGGGGGCCCGGGCTCTGCGCTCGGTATCGGGTGTGTTTGGAGCGTCCCCAGCCTGTGCCCTGTGGGAGCACACATCACACCGCTGACAGCTCCCACGGCAGTCCCGCCAGCCCACAGGGGCTGGGAAATCTGGGAAGCTTCGCTGAGTCCCATACAAACCGGAGCTGGTGGTCGTGGCGAGGATGTTACAAATGCGATCCAAGATTACCCGAAAGGCTGAGCAACAAAATAATGCGTGCGAAGAGGCACAGATTAAACAGAAGGATCGAGTGTTTGAGGCTTCCTTTGTGAGTGTCGGAGATCGGGAGTTAGGCTTTGGCAGCAATGTGCCTCTTCTCTAGGTGTGGCCTGATTCTGCCACTCAGCTCCGGAGAGGACAGTGACACCGCCTGTGAGCCAAGCCGGTGTTTAACACAGCGGGGGTGTCAGCAGCCTTGCAAAGCCGGCCACAAACACTGGCCTCACACTGACCGTATTCTTCCCGGGAACATATCTTCAGGGCTTTTGAGATCTTGAAAAGCAGAAGTGAGAGCAATATAAAGCTAGAAATACTTTCTCTTGCACCGATTTCCATGCACATATTCAGTTCGACTTGAGGGAACCAAACTGCACCCACAGAAATAGCCCTGCTTAGTTGCCTCCACAATTTTGAGCTGAGCCTTCAACGAGCTATCACCACCGAGGTCTTTAGCCTACCTCACGCCTAATGTAATACAAATGTCATGTTTTGAAGACTTCACAGTCCAGTGGAGTCCAGCGGTGTCTGCCCAGAGTCATTGATTCCCAGAGACAGCGTTGCCCAAGTATTGCAGTCAGTTGTTGAACCGGATGCAATCATACACTGAAAACAAGTAATGTCGGCTGATAAAAATAGCTGTATTAACTCTTTATCTACCTTAGCATTTACTTCCACGAGTGTAGACATTAGCATGTGTTTCCATGGGGTGTGCAGTTGCAGTTGTGCCTCAAATGCCATGGAGTAGCTGACTGCATGGAGGGTAAAACACCTATATCCAATCCCATACCCGTTCCCACTCCCCTTCTTCACATCTGAGGGAGGGGATGGCAGAAGGCACAGCTTCCTGCCCTTAGTGACTAGAGCATCATCCTACCAGCAAATCCCAGCTGCCCTCTATATCCCTCTAGCTGCCAGGTCTCAGATTTCCCCCAGACAGCGTGATGGTGGTGTGCATTATCAGCTCTTCTGTCTTTGCCTGGAGTTTGAGGACAATGTAACAGCAGTTGAACTTGGTATCACAACAAATAAATAGGAGAGGATCCAGGTCCTTCAGTGTCTTCTGTGGGAGGAACATACCCCACATGGCATCTTCTGTGGCTAAGGTGAGGTTTCAAGTGCTGTTCTGGAGACAGAGCTACGGCTGTAGGGTGACAATGCATTTTAATGTCCTAGGCATGAAGGACTAGAAACGTGTTATCCTACCTGGCTTCTCCCACTTTAATATCTTAGTCTCTTTGAGGGTGTTTGTAAAGACTTGCTGGGAGAAGAGCCATGTGGGGGTGAAGGCAGCACCATGACATCCTGGGAAGGGAAGAGAAGGGAAAATCCTTGCTTCTTTTGGCTATGTCTTAAAGCTCACTCAGCTGGGTGTGATTTCTGGAGCTGTGGCACCAGAAGCTCAGGCTTTGTCAGAAAGCTCCAAACTCCTCCATCCACAAATGGTCTTCCATAGCATGTCCAGGGAGAGAGACTGTTGGCCTGTATGCAGTCTGTGTGCTTCAGGGACCTGCAGAAATTAAGGACCAAGCTGCCCATCCATGGCTGACCTGGGGAGCTCCCTCTTTTGACCCAAATATCCAGTCTTACATTTCCCTTCTCAGCTGTTGCCCTGGTTTCTTTCAGTAACAGGCTCCAGCAAGGAGCAGAGCTTGGCTTCTCTCAAAGAAGATGCTGGATGAGGCCCCTCTCAATCTAGGAATCTTCCACTTCAAGGTGAGCAGCCGAGAGAAGGAGATTCAAGGGGAAACCTCACCCCAGCAGCTCTGGGGCAAGGAGCACAGCACCAACAGTGACTGTGCTGGTTGTTTCTGGGACAGGGACTATTGCCAGGCATTGCCTAGTGCCAGAGTAGGAGAGGACAGTGCGTGGACACAGAAAGGTGCCTTTTTCTCCTCTGGCCTGCTTTGCCCAGCCACCAACACAGCCCACAGCCAAGCAGCTCTCCTCTAATCTGCTTCCTGGTTCCTCCCTGGTGGGGTGGCACCAGCACCAGCTGTCTCCTCAGGGACTGCACAAACACATCTGGTGAGGTTTTGCCCATGGCAGGCAGCGGCCTGTTTGCTCTCAGCAGCAGCTGGAGGTAGCAGGAAGGGAAGGGGATGGAAAACCACCCTCTTTGCACATGTCCCCCTGTTAGTACATCTCCTGCAGCCCACTTTGTCCTCAGATCATGCTGTGACAGCCAGAAGTCACTGTACCCGTTCAGGATATCATTCTATTTAAGTTCTTTACACCATGTGAGGCAGCTTCTCTAGCTGATGCCTTCAGCGAGGCAGCCCCCATCTGTCAGATGCAGTTCATCTCTCTGAGGGGAAGAGCTGCGGGTACAGCTGAAGGTCAGGTTTGAGAGAAGGCAGTTGGTGTTTGATATCTGCCTGACACCAAAGGGATTCACTGGGGCAGCAGCCAGCAAGGTCTGTCCTTGGCACTGGGGGAGTCCTCTTGCACAGGTGGCTTCTACCCTTTTTCAGTGAGGAGCACAGAAAGTTGCCCAAACGGGGAGTGGTCAGCTGATTGAGGATGCTAAGGAACAGGAACTGGCTCCAAAGCCCTGTGTCCAGGCTCTCCGATGGCTGGCCCTCTGCAGCTCTTGCTGGGAAACTGCTTAAAAGCACCTAGTGTCTGCTGGAATCATGGGGGAAGCAGCAAAAGAAACAGCATCCTGGAAGGAGGAAAAAGCCCCCTGCACGGCTGGCACTGGAGGATGGCGAGCAGGATGCTCTTTGTGCTGCCGCTCCTCCCAAAGCTGTCTGCTCTCCTTGGGTCCCCGCAGGAGCTGTGCAGCTGCTGACAGCTATTAATAGGTAGGGAGAACGTGGGCTCTGTCTCCTACAGCTTCCTGGGATGAATGGTAATTACCCTTAATTGGACTGGATTTGGTTCCACCACCTACCTTCCAGCCCCCTTGCCTGCGCTGGCAGGGGGAGACCAGCCCATCTGCTGCCTGTGCCGGCTCTGTGGGGAGCAGGGATCAGCACTGGGAACAGAGTCCCATCTCCCCAGGACATCTCACAGGCCTTGCCCGTGGATGGTGGGCATGGGGAGGAGCAGAGCTAGCAGCTGGCAGGCTGCAGGCATTTGGCTCACCCTGGTCTTTCCAATGGCGCACAGGAGCCCTGCAGGGAGTGAGATAAACAATCCCACCAAAGCCTGATGGTGCAGATGGGTTGGATGCTCTCTCTTTGAGTTTAATTAAAGAAACAAGACAGAAGAAATAATGAGGGGCTCTGACCTGTCATTATGGTTGGCATCCCCACCGCCATGCATCACACGGTTCTGTGAAAAGGGCATCCTTTGCTGCCAGTGCAGGATACAGCAGGGCTTGTCCCCCATTTCCCACAGGGCACAGCCCAGCTTCAGTGGGGTTAGTCAGGATACAACCTGCCCAAGGGCGTGTTATTTCCCTTATTATGCCACTACACCTCTGGCCTGAGCTCTGAAACAGGAAGTTTTCTTTCATCCAGGTTATTTTAGGCAGATGCAGGAATAGCGCAGGAGGTTTTCTTCATCCACTGAGGCTGCACCTCCCAGGAATCACATCCCAAGAAGACGGAGGCAGAACTGGATGCCATTAGATCTTTCTTGTACATCTCAGACTCTGGCTCTGGAGCAGAACACCCTCTACCTGAGATGCTCGGTAAGGCTGCACTTCACTAACCCCACCTCTGTGCCATCCTGCCCGTCTGAACAGCCACAGTGTCTCAACAAACCCTTGCTGCTCCTCCAGAACTTGGATTTATCCCTGCCTGGTTCAGCTCAGCAGCTGGTAACACTTTCCACTGTGGGAACCCCCTTCTTTCACTGACCCTTGCTGCTTGTGGCAGGGAGAGAGGGAAGGGGCAGTCGCACTGCCTCATCCTGCCAAGCTGAAGCTCCCCAGACAAGGCAGTTTCATTTACCTCTTCTTAGGTTTTAATTTCTTTTCCCACATTGTGTGTTTGCTCTTGACTGAATCACGAAAACCCTCCTGCAAGCGGGATCCGTGCCTAGGGACCTACTGGCTCCCGTTAGCAAACGCCTCCCTCCTTGCTGCTGGAGCCCTCTCTCTGAGATCCCTCCAACGTCAGGCCAGAAGATTCAGGTCCCTCTGCTGACTCCCACTCAGCCCAGCGTGTTGCATCCAAATGCCAGATGGCACACTAGGCTCAGGCAGGAGCGGTGCCAGGCTCTTCTCCCTTTCTCTCCACCCTTGGGTCCACAGAAAAGAGGCGGAGAACCAGCACAGCCAGGTTCCAGACTGCCGTGTTTGCTACAGCTTCCCTGGTCTTCAGCCCCACTCACTGGGGGATTGACACGGGAGGTGCTGGTAGAGCCCCAGCGTGCCAGGGAGGAGAGGACCTGCTCCAAGGCTGTGTCCCCTGTGCCCAGTTTCCTGTGCTAAGATTAACAAGCAATGCCCAGGACTGGAACACAGCCGCTGCTTCCTCTGTGCTCTCACACCCCTGTTCCTTTCCTTCCTTGTTGGAAAATACCTTGTTTGGCCAGGGTTGCTCACCACTACTGGGTAACTGTCTGCAGAGTTCTGAAGGTTCAGCAAGCTTCTCTCAGCCCCTAACCCCCCCTTAATGAAATGAAGAGGAGGAGAGGAAAAGCAAAGCAACTGTCCTGCCTGAAAGCGTGATTTCGAAGCTGTGGGCAGCAGAAACATCCTATTTTCAGTCTTTGGGCAGCAAAACAGACTCAGGGAGGATTTGCTCAGATTTTCCCAGCCTTTCTGCTTCAGATGGCTGCGTTAGCAGAATATCTGCTGCTTTTGGCTCAGAACTGGGTGGCCCCTAGAGCAACCCCCCCTTTTTGGTAGGGACTCAGACACTTTCTGCTGGCTCTTCTTGATACCCTGAGATGGGCATCTCCATTAACACTGCCTGAGCGCTAGGATCTCCACTTTCACTACTGTGTCACAGTAACCCCCACAGATCCTATCCCTGGAGCATGTGTCCCCTCTCTGCCAGGCTGCTGCCACTCAGCTCCTTGGAGGGCAGGGGAAGACACCTCCCTGAGGTGTCCAGGAGGAGAGATGCACAGAAACATTGCTACCTGCAGCAGGTCGCACCATTGAGGATGTAATCAGTATAGAAACGCTGGCCACTGGATGCTTTTCCTTGCCCTTCTCCTCTGCTCCTTTATTCCTATGAAATGGGGTGCCGGCTGTGCCCAGTTCCCCTCAGATGTGCTGGTCATGTGCCTCCCTGCCCTGGCATGCGGCTGCTGGCTGCAGGGCTCTCTGGCATGGATGGCATCCCCTGGCTCCACAAACCTGGCAGTGGGTGCGTGAGCCAGGCTGGGGCACCATGTGGGAGAGCAGAGCTGGCTGCGTTCTCCCTCGGAGGAGGGAAAGCATCTAGTCAGTGACTTCTATTCCTGGCTGGGCTTGTTGCAGCCTTCACGACATTCAGAGCAGGTGTGAAGCTTTTCCCTTCCCAGGCTGGGGATGGGAGCTAGTGGGAGGTTGTTTTCCAGCACTTTCATGGAGATAGTCTGTTGGTTTTGCATGGTGTCTTTTTTTCCCCACAGTGATCCGTGCTCTGACTTTTAGCTTGTGACTCTGCGTCATTCCATTCCCTGCCCCAATTTCCACCTCTCCCTGTTGTGCTGTTTTGATAAACCCAAGGTGCTCGGTGCTTGCAGTCAGGGGTAAGAGGTCTTGAGGGATGCAGTGGGGGATCAGATCCTACAGCACAGGCTGTGCACAGGGAGATTTTTCAAGAAGGCCAGGGCAGGCAGTGCAGCATCTTTCCCTCGTGGCCACCAGAAAGCAGCTCAGAGGTTCAGGAGCTTTGTTAGATTTGAAATGAGGGCATTGTCCCTTCTTGCCTTTTTTACTCTCAAGCCCAGCTTGGCTGTGACACCTGTTGCAGAGGTACACCTGGTACTCCTTGCAGGGGCCACCCCTTCCCTTGAAGGCTGGGAATGCTCCTCAGGGCCTGGCCCACGGAAGAGAAAGCCCTGCGGGTAGGGGTGTGAGCTCTTCCAGCACTCCTGCGGCTGCTGGGCTGCATGGAGGTGGGGGTACCTGGGGAAGAAGGTGCTATTTCCACCTCTCAGTGTTCCCCAGCAGCAGCTCCATACATCCTGCATCAGCATTTCCAGAGCGTGGAATGGGTGGGCAGAAGGGGAGCCCCATCCACAGCGTCGCAGCAAGGGCAATGTCGGGGCGGACGCTGATGGAATAGGACAGCCCGGGCGCTTGCACGCCACGGGCTGCTGAGTTGCTGCTGTCCTTTGGTGCCCTTTTCCCACCCCAGCAGATCCCGGCACCGGCAGGGCTAGGAGCTGCCAGCTGCCATCACCGTCCTCCAGAGCCACGCTCCATGACAGATCCGCTTCCCCCTGCTGCTGCGCCCGGCTCCTGGGCGCTCCCATGCCCCGCAGCGGGGTGCTGGGGCCATGGCACAGCCCCGGCTTCCTCCGTGCTCCCATTCAGGGCTTGGCCGCTGGAGCAGTGCAGCCCGAGGCATTACACTCGTGCTGGGAGGGCTGGGTGAGCGCCGCCGAACGCCTCCTGCTGCAGCTCTCTGCCACCGCTTTGTCTGAACGTCTCTGCCGTGTCTGGCAGCACCGCACCCAGCTCCAGGAGAGCCATCGGGCTTCCCCCTTGTGCCCTGTCACCGCATCGTGATTGCACTGACAAAGGGCCCTGGGTTCAGTCCCAGCACGCTGCAGGCTCTGCTTGCTGAGCTGGGCTACCTGCAAACTGCAGCTTGAGGGCTTGTTCAAGGGCCCTTGAAACCCACAAGAAACGACCTGGAGTCCTCCCAAGGACAGCGATGTACCAAGTCCAGCTGCTGCCTCTGTACCTGGCCTGTCCCCAGGTTATGCCCTGTGTTGCTTCCACCAGGCCAGTATGAAGCCTTCCATCCCCGATTTCTAAGTCCAGCTGTGCCCCTCTGTTACAAGGCCTCTGGGGCCAACAGGTTCTTCTCAGTAGTACTGCAGCTTGGTGGGACTTTCCTTCTTCTACTTCTCTGGCTGGACTGATGCTCACCCAGGTGAACTGGAGACACCAGCCACAGAGACCTCGCTTGCTGTTTTCTCAGCAAGAAACTGCCAGCTTTGGTAACTCCCCAGTCCTCAGATGTGGACAAGGGGTCTCTTCTCCTGGAGCCTGACTCTGGCAGGGAATGGTGGTGCCCGTAGCAGGGACACTGCAGCCATCACATCTCGTGCTGCTGCTCTGGGGCTGTGAGAGTCAGCAGCTCTTGGGTTGCTCTCAGGCAGACCAGCCCTCTGCAGAGAGCAATCCTGGTTCTCTGGGCCTTTGGTCTGTTCCAGGTGGGTGATTCCTGTGTTTTGAACAAGGCAGGGGAAGAAAACTGAAAGTCCAAGTGAGCAAAGCAGCCAGACTGAGCCAGGACACGTCAGAGCTGCCTCTGTCAACACCGTTGCTGAGGCAAGCAGGCAGGCAGGTCCTTAATTATTGATGGTACTTATAAATAAATGCTGGGGCAGGGAGAGGAAGGTTACAGAGGAGCAGCTGCTGGGAGGGGGAGGGAACCTGAGAGCTCACTTGCTTTAAAGGTCATTCAGTTTGGCATCTCTTGCCCCTTTCTCTGTAAAACTCGGTGATATTGGATTCAATGGATTATCTTCCTTGTGTGTCTTCTTGCTTCTGCCTAACCCAGCCAGATGAGAGGACGAGGAGGAAGAAGAGGGAGGAAAGACATCTGCAAGAGGGGGCAGTGAGGGAAAGAAAGGGGAGGGAAGGAAATGCCATCAGAAATGTGGGACAAACAGACAAACGAGGAGACAACAAAATTAGTAGAGCAGCAAATCCCAACCCAAGTGTAAATAATTCTTCACCATGTGAAAAGAAGGTCTATGTAGGCTCAGATTCATCTTCCCCTTCCTGGGGCTTAAGCCCAGGAAGCGCATGAAATGAGGCTGGACAAGGACTAGAAGGAGACATAACGATCTTGACTGGGGACTGGAATAGTAACCCAGTGTCTGTGTAGCCTCAGGCACTTGGGGTGGAGCATCCCAGGAAGACCGGACTATCTGATGGCAATAGCTCTGGGATAGGGATCCCACAGCCAGCTGAAAACACAGGAAGGACTTTGGACTGGAATCACAGAAGGACTTAGAGGTTGACAGCCTCCATGGGAGTCTTAAGTGACTGTGGATGATGGGGCTTCACAACTTAGTCTGAAGCTCCCAAGCTTGCAGAAGTGACACACAGGTGTTGGGTGCAATATGGGCTCAAGCAAGATGGAGCTCCTTTCAGCCTCTCCAAGAGCACACTGCAGGACATGGTCTCCTTCCATCCCTTCTCCAGTCTCAAGGGAACCACGTGGTGCTCTCTGGAGTAGAGGTGCCTGTGCTGCAGCTGAGCAAATCGCGCCTCCCGGCAAGCGGCAGAAAACACAGCTGCAATCCAGGCTGACTGCAGGGAGCCGGCTGGTTGTGAAGGGCACGCAGCAGAGGAGAGCGAGCTGCGGGATCCCTCCTGAATTGCCTCTGCTGCCTCCTCGGGCTGTCGGCTCTCCGCTGCAGACAGCGTTCTGCTGTGATGGAAACGTGGTCCAGCTCCAGCAACGCTTCCCGGGAGCCGGGAACCCAGGGACAGAGGGGGGATTTCAGCCATGGGCAGCTCCTGCCCTGCCCACATGCCATAACGCTCCTCCTGTCCCTCAGCTGAACACCTCTAGTGCAGAGCCATCCCCTCCTTTCCCAGACAGCTGCGGTGCAGAAGGTGAGGCACCACCAGCTCCAGGTGGCCCTGAGCTGCCCCCGCGGGATGGGATGTCCCATCTCACCAGGGGTGCTCTGGGTCTGCGGTTCGCTACTGCAGCCTTGTGTGTGCCGTGCATGGGTGCTGCATGGCCTGAGTGCCTGGCTGCTGTGGGAGAAGAGAGCAGTGTGTGGCTCAGCTCTGCTACCACCGCTAAGATCCCAGCACCTCTGCGGAATGAGTCCCGGGATGCAGCAGCCTGCCCCAGGCCTGGGTGGCAGGGGTGCCCAGGGAGAGCTGGGCTTCCCGGTGTGGCACCCTCTCACTCTGCAGCTCAGGCTATTGAGAGTGATGCTCCTGCAGCAAAGTGGGGTGAAGAAAGGCAAGCAAGTACTTGCTGCTCTCCTTTTGCTGAAGTCAGGTAGTTATTTGCGATTGGGGCTGGCAAGCCCTCGCGTTGCACGTGCCCTTAAGGGACCTCGGGGTCCATCTGGACTTATGGAGGTGTTGCCAACCTGACAGCACCTGCTCACAGCAAAAATACCATTGTCTCTTAATGAGTTTCCCGCTTCCTGCCGTCCCTTCTGCGGGCGTGTGTTTGGAGTTGCCAATGTGGGCCCAGGGTACTACTCGCCCCTTGGGTTCTTGATGACTGTAAGAGAATGTAGGCTACTATTCTGGCCAGAGAACTATATTTAAACCCTGTGTTTCAGTCCCCAGAGCCCTCCCAGCTGAGCGCTGCTTGACCTGCCTCTAAATACAGAGCAGCCTGGGCAGAAACGTGGCAGCTACTGTGCTATGGCACAGGGTGCTAATGCACTGTCCTTGTGTGGCAGGGAAAGGGGCGGAGAGGATGTAAGTCTGTGCAATGGGGGGTTCATCAGAAGACCAGCAGGAAATGCTCTCTTCCAGGACCAGTGATAGCCTGGTATGGCCACAGCCCAAAACCCAGAATTGCTACTGCAATGACCCATTTACCAGGCTGGGGGGATATGGGCACCACGGGTGCCTCCACAGAACTACTCTTTTGTAGGACAGCATCCTTTTCCACCTCCAATTACAGAGCAGGTTTAGTGCTGCTGAGCTCATGAGATGGAGTCAGATCATGATTTGGTTATGCAGTGACCTCGTAAATCCTTGCAGGCTCAGAAAGAGGAAGGGAAATTCTGAATTCCGTGCCCAGAAAGGTCAAGAGCAGCAAATGAGAAGAAAGAAAATGAGCTCCAAGCTGAAGGCTCCCTCCAAGAATGCCCTGGCTGAGGCAGGAAATGAATAGCACCATCATAGCAGGCTACAGCCCCTTAAGGGGCTGAGCAGAAGTCTAAAAGGGGTCAGCAGTTTTTCAACTAAAAATCAGGCCAGAGGGGGTTAATTTTGTGAGGCTACTGCTGGAGAGCTCACGCTGCTTTTGTAGCATGGTGCAGGAGCTGCTTAACCCAGTATTCCTCTCCTCCTCCTCACACCTACTCTCCAATACCGAAATGAGACATCATCTCCTGTAGCAGCTATTAATATAGCAACACAAAAAGCACCCTGGGAAGGTGCTTTCCCAGTAAGCTAGAGCACCCCAGCACCTCCTCACACCTGGTACCACTGTGGCCCAAGCGAAACACAGGAGCTGTGCAACACCAGGAACTAATGCTGCTTTCAGGTGACAGCATGAACCAACCCCTGGGACTCCACAAACCCTACACGAGCCTTGTTCCAAGGCCGTGAAACACTGAGCTGGATGTTCCAACTCTCTCCTGTGTTCAGGTGCCTTGCAGACATGTTATGAGGACCTCTGCCTCCAGAAACAAACTTGAAAAAGCACTCAGCTGGCTCTGCTACAGCATACAGGAACAGGGGCAGATCTGGGGCGAGCAGGGGGATGGCTGAATTCTTGGCAGCAGAACCTTGGCTCACAGTCCCCTTTGCAGCAAGCCCTGCTTTAAGCTCCCTAGCTGGAAGCAGCATTTACTGAACGAAAGGCTGAAGGCCTATGCTCTTGCTGCAGCTGTCAGTGCTTTGGGGGAGCAGAGGAGGGCAGTGGGGAGCACCACCGGCCCTTAAGGCCTCCCCATTCCTTCTGCCTCCGAGTGCTCACATTTATGTCTGACACTTATCCAAGTGCAAAATCAGCTCCTGGCACTTTGCAAAGATGAGTAGGAGCCACATGAAGCGTTAGGGACAACATACGAGACTGTGGGATGGACAGCCACTGACATAGGGAAGAAATCCCCTTGTTCTCTAATGATACCATCAAGTCCACGTATCTTTTTCCCCAGGCACACTGTTCACTTGAAGAGGAAGGGGAGAGGAGGCTTTGCTCACAGCAGCTATCCACCCTCTCCCCCTCAAAGAGACAGCTGAAAGTTGTAAGTCTCTCATTAGGAGACTGAGCCATTCTCCACTACATCCTCACTAATCCATATTTATGTGACAGCCATTTCCTGCTCCCCATCCATCAGCATCACTGTGCTTCCACCTCTCCTCCCCCTCTCCCCAAAAGCTTGCAGCTACTGCCGCCTCCACCTCCCTCCACAGTGCCAGGCAACCCTACCTGCTGGTGAAATCTATCCCTCTGGGGCTGCTGCTGCTGCTGCTGCTCACGGGATGAAACCTGCTTGTATCACTATCCTGTTGCACTTTTGCCTCAGCTACAGTTTGTGATCTCTCTTCATTTAGGTCAATACTGCATGTAAAATAACGGTGCTTTGGCCAGGAGCTCAACATATCACTAACAATGAGTTGAGTTTGCTGGGTCTGCTGATGCTTGTGACAAACAACCATTTAGGAGAGAGACCTGCTCACCTCAAGACTAAGGAGCTAAGTGCTGCAGGGAGTTCCATGCTGCAACACAGCAATCCCATTCACACAGCTCACCACATCCGTGGTGGTTTTTAGGTAGGTGCTGGTAAGGAAGAAGCCAGAAGGCAGTGTGAGAAGGAGTTACAAGGGAATGGCAGGAAGAAACAAGGGTAAGAACATTCATCCAAAGCAAAGAGGTGGAGGCAGGGATGATTAGAAGGTGCAGCTAACAAGAAACATCAGGGGACTGGACACTCTCTACCCTTTAATGGCTTTAGGATAACACTGTGCCATCTGCCTATGCTCTCACAGAACATTTGTGCCGGTCTTGTGGCAAGAACCGCACTCTTCCAGGAGAAGCAGGACCTGCTGTTGCAACCCATGCTTTCTCAGGCTCAATCCCCATACGCTCATGCTGACAACAGGCAGCATTTTTCTGTCAGTGGGATCAGGAGTGGGGTCTCTGCTGATCCTGGATGGTCAGAAATCTAGTTCTCCAATGCACTGGTTGCAGCAATGCTCAGTGTGGGAGCTGTTAAACCTTTCAGATCAGCAGGATATGTGTTCTGCATCAAGTGTCCACGTAGCTTGCAGCTGGGGTGCATACAGCTGTCCTGCCACCAAAGCATCACAGTTTACTCTGAGCAAACTTCAGTGCAGTAGTGAGGGCTCCCTGCATGCCCTTGGCATTTCCACTGCCCTTAGCGACAACGGGAGAGCCTCCTGCCTTCCCTTCCATCTGTGCACAGACAGCCACAGCCCAGTCAGCAGCAGAGAACACAGGGAGGCAATTCTGGGGAAAAGACACAGAACAAAGTCATTTAGACTGGTGAGCACTCTGCAATCTGGATAAAACAAGGTAACAACATCCTCTCCTCACCCAGCCTGGGCCCTCCCTAACTGAGGCAGTCATGACTGTGAGGACAGAAAAGGCTGAACTTATACGTTAATACTGTTTGCCCCTGGGGAATACATGTTTACCCCTGGGCAAACATGGCCTGGAACATCTAGAGATATCTGTGCCCAGCAGAGACTGAAAGCTTATCTGGTCCCAGTACAGTCATCTCATGTCCTCTCACTGTGTGATTACCCTCCAACACTGTGCAGAATCCCAAGAAAAGCCTCAATGGGGACCTGCTGAGTAGCAGGTCCAATCCCTCTTTGTGGGCAGGGTTATGCTTACCTTGGACACCTGACAGGCACAGAGCACCTCACCAGAAGCCTGAGGACTCAGCAGCAGGACTGATGAGCCAGGAGACTTGTCACACAGCTGGTTCACAACCTTCATGAGGATCTAGGAAAGGCAGGGAGTAGAGGGGTCAGGCTACAGCAAAGGTAACTGGCATGCAGCAGAAAATGTGCCCAGCAGGTCCCTCTTACTGCATGCAGCACCTGAGGCCAACAAGAATTACCCTTGCAAGAATTACAAGCAGATTACTCACAGAGAGGGAATCAGCTGGGACAGTATCAACGATGACAGGTTGGCTGCAATGTTTTGCTAGCAGGTTTTGTGCCTTCTCTTCCGCCTAGAAGAGGAAACAAACAGCACTTGAGGGGCTACAGGTGGCAGAGTGGGCTGGATGGGGATCTATGCATGCAACATATATATAAAGGGAATGGAAGTGCTGCTCTGTGGGATAGAGGGGATATGTATGTCAACACCAGTCAAAATAGGACTGGCAGACTGAAATCTCCACATGGAGACCTGTACAACCCTCCTTCCTCAAAATCAAGCAGATATGAACCCCTGTCAAAAGTGGAATAGAGAGTGACTCGTTCACTCCCCAGCCTCTCTCCTGGACACACATTTCCAAGTACCTCAGGAGGGCTTCTGTGGCAAGATGCTCCTTCTTTAAGAAAAAGATGTTTTTTGCTGAGAACACTAAGTGACCAATAAGCACTTCCAAAGGGCTTTTAATAATGCAATATCCATATGGCTGGGAGAAATGCTTTGTCCTGCCACACTCTTACTGTATAACTTCATAAATCCCACTGTCAGGGCCATCTCATCTTCTTCATGTATAAACAAGGAGGCAACGCCTATCTGCCTGTTGGTGTTTGCTGAAAGTGCTGGTATGGGGCTCTCCATCCTCACAGGCAGACACACAGAGGGATTCTGCAGTGTCAAAAGCCCAGTCAGTCACTCACTGCATTTTAAATTATGACCCTGGTTAACGCTAGTGAAATCAGCCTAACACAGGGCTTGTGTTGCACTTTGTGTGATTGTACCTGCTTTCTAATGGGATCCTAGTGACCAAGTGGCTGTGAAGTGTGACAGAGACACCAGCTCTGCTATCAGCAGGCTGCAGGTTAGTGTGCTGCTGCCACGGTACCTGCTTCATCTCCAATTTCTTGACAGCTGTGTTAGCTGTTCGCTGCAGCACTTTAAGGATGGTCTCTAGTTCTTTTCTTTGCCACTGGGGCATTGCAGTCTCAGTCACCACCTGCAAGACAATTTGCTGTGTAAGGACACTAAACTGTACCTAGACATTATTTGCTAGTTCTCTGGGAAGTCAGGCTGGAGCCTGGCCTCTTCACAGACGCTCCTACACCCCTATGTGATCAGGCCCAGCAGTCACTGTGGTGTGTAGCTTTCTTTTCAGCTGGGCACCTAAAGCCCAGGAGCCCTCTTTCACTGCTTTACCCTCCCCACCATTGTCTTCTCTCACATTCCCTCTGGCAGCATGTCACCTGCAACAGAGACATCTAGACACTGGCAGAAATTTTTGTGATCAAAGAGGCAACAGCAGATAGCAACTTGCCCTTGCTATTGACCATGGTAAGATTTGAACCTGGAAGGAAAGAAGTCACGTGCCTCAAGTCTGTGCTGGCATCTTTCTGTAAAGAAATGTAATCCTTACTTTGGTCAACTGGCCCACTTCTTTGGAGAGGTTCTGCATCTCAGGAATAGAGGTGCTCCTCTGCTTCATTCGGAGAGAGAGAGAGTCCACTTCCATAGCCAAGCACTGGCCTACTTCCCGAGCCTGAGAGATGGAAAGAAAGAATGCGTCAAATGCAGCAACAGAAAGAATGAGCAGGGATGGAGAACGTGGGGAGGCAGCAGGGTCATAAGCACTGGAGTGCTCTCAGGATCTAGTGGGAAGACACCTACAGAGGCTTTAAGAACAAACGTCCTAAAAAGACTCTATTCAAAAGCTTCCCTCAAGACTTGCAACTGACACTAGACAGTCACACCTTGGGGGACAAGCTGTCGTGCATTCCTGCTTCCTCAGTATCTCACACCAAGTCATCAGGATTGCAATGAGAAAAACTTGGCAGCCCTATTTACTTCTCAGAGCTCATTTTTCATTATCAAAATTATTCATTATCATATTTCATTATCAAGAGCAATCTTGAAACTACTGACTAAAGAAACAAAAGAAACACTAAAACTAAAGTGTTTTAAGTGTCATCAGCTGTTCAAGCGTATTTCCTGAGTTCAGCTGATCTTGGTGTATGTTTCTTATTGCTTTCCCCAACACCAATGCTACAATTAGTAATAACCTTCCTCCTCACACACACAAAAAAACCCTCAAAAACTTAATACAAGCTTTTTTCACCAGTGACAATCCTTATGCTTTGGAGCATTTCCTCCCTTCCAGATTTCTGTGCCCATGATGGTCCTGTGAGACTTTAGACCAGGACAGCAGAAAGTATATAAGACAAGCTGTGGACAGCGAGAATTGCTGTGTCCAGCTTGGACACACGTCCCTTGTTTCAAATCACTCACTCTCTCTGATTACTCTCCCCTGTCTAACACATGCACTCAGCTTGTCTTGGGGTCTCTCCAGGTCAGCACATCCAGCAAAGCATGCAGATGTGCCCTGCAGCTTTTCATTCCTCTGCACTAAGAAAAGCCTTCCAAGGGTCACAGATGCAGAGGGGACAATCAGCCAAAAAGCAACAGATTTGCAGGGGTGGGCTTTGCCTTTAGTCTTCCCAGTTCCACCGACAGTGAGTCACTCTTCCCTTCTGATTGTAGCCTTAAAGGAAGCAGGCAAACTCGTGGGGCCCCCTGACACTTCCAGATATTTAAAGGACAGTGTGATCCCAGAGACAC